AGACATTAGTAACAACGTTCACTAGTGTTGTAGAAGGTCATCAAACAGTGAGATAAGACATTAGTAACAACGTTCACTAGTGTTGTAGAAGGTCATCAAACAGTGAGATAAGACATTAGTAACAACGTTCACTAGTGTTGTAGAATGTCATCAAACAGTGAGATAAGACATTAGTAACAATGTTCACTAATGTTGTAGAATGTCATCAAACAGTGAGATAAGACATTAGTAATAACGTTCACTAGTGTTGTAGAAGGTCATCAAACAAAGAGACAAGACATTAGTAACAACGTTCACTAGTGTTGTAGAATGTCATCAAACAGTGAGACAAGACATTAGTAACAACGTTCACTAATGTTGTAGAAGATCATCAAACAGAGATACAAGACATTAGTAACAATGTTCACTAATGTTGTAGAAGGTCATCAAACAGTGAGATAAGACATTAGTAACAACGTTCACTAATGTTGTAGAAGATCATCAAACAGTGAGACAAGACATTAGTAACAACGTTCACTAATGTTGTAGAAGATCATCAAACAGAGATACAAGACATTAGTAACAATGTTCACTAATGTTGTAGAAGGTCATCAAACAGTGAGATAAGACATTAGTAACAACGTTCACTAGTGATGTAGAATGTCATCAAACAGTGAGATAAGACATTAGTAACAACGTTCACTAGTGTTGTAGAAGGTCATCAAACAGTGAGATAAAACATTAGTAACAATGTTCACTAATGTTGTAGAAGGTCATCAAACAGTGAGACAAGACATTAGTAACAACGTTCACTAGTGTTGTAGAAGGTCATCAAACAAAGAGACAAGACATTAGTAACAACGTTCACTAGTGTTGTAGAATGTCATCAAACAGTGAGATAAGACATTAGTAACAACGTTCACTAGTGTTGTAGAATGTCATCAAACAGTGAGATAAGACATTAGTAACAATGTTCACTAGTGTTGTAGAAGATCATCAAACAGTGAGATAAGACATTAGTAACAACGTTCACAAGTGTTGTAGAAGGTCATCAAACAGTGAGATAAGACATTAGTAACAATGTTCACTAGTGTTGTAGAAGGACATCAAACAGTGAGATAAGACATTAGTAACAACGTTCACAAGTGTTGTGGAAGGACATCAAACAGTGAGATAAGACATTGGTAATAATGTTCACTAGTGTTGTAGAAGGACATCAAACAGTGAGATAAGACATTAGTAACAATGTTCACTAGTGTTGTAGAAGGACATCAAACAGTGAGATAAGACATTGGTAATAATGTTCACTAATGTTGTAGAAGGACATCAAACAGTGAGATAAGACATTGGTAATAATGTTCACTAGTGTTGTAGAAGGTCATCAAACAGTGAGACAAGACATTAGTAACAACGTTCACTATGGGTGCAGAAGGTCATCAAACAGAGATACAATACATTGGTAACAACGTTAACTAAGGATGTAGAATACCATCAGTTAGTAAGTCGATACATTAGTTACAACATTGTGTTAGTTACTTTCTCATATTACGTTTATAATACCAAGTACTCTTTTTATATTATTATTAAACACATTATAAAATCATGTGTTACGTTTTAACTGCTACTTATTTTTAACAATAGATGGAGCCACAATCACGGTTATGAATTACCTTGTCGACCAATTTTCCAATTAAAACAGAAATTAAATCGATTTCATAGCCATCTATATTTAAATATTTGAAATGAACCACGTGAGCAATAAACAACGGAGTTAGTCGTTTAAAGTTGTTATCGATCAAAATAATCAGACGAAAGATTTGGAATTAACATCACAATCTATCATATGTAGCTTAAGTAATAAAGAGGAGAACACCATGAAAAATATGCTGGTAAACAAACCACTGATAATTTAGTTTGTTTTGAATTTCGCGCAAAGCTACACGAGGGCTATCTGCGCTAGCCGTCCTTTATTTAGCAGTGATAGACTATAGGGAAGGCAGCTAGTCATCACCACCCACCGCCAACTCTTGGGCTACTCTTTTACCAACGAATAGTGGGATTGACCGTCACATTATAACGCCCCAACGGCTGAAAGAGCGAGCAAGTTTGGTGTGAAAGGGATTCGAACCCGCAGATTGCGAGTCGAGCACCCTAACCACCCGGTCATGCCGGGCCGGACCAGTGATAGAAGAGTAACCATATTTTATTGAACAGCGTCGCTTAACACAATCAATACGAAGAAATAAAAGAAGCATATGTTTTTAAATTTGGATGTCCAACTTAAATAAATTCAGAATATTTCAATGAGAAATTGAACAAGCAAACAAATCGAATATTGAAACTAGATAAACTAGAATATAACAATTATATTCAACAAAACCTTTTGTTTATTACTCGTCACAACTGTTTGTTTGTTTGATTGAAGTTAAGCACAAAGCTACACAACGGGCTATCTGTGCTCTGCCCACCACGGTATCGAAACCCGGTTTCCAGCGTTGAAAGTCCGCAGACATACCGCTGACCCACTGGGGGGGGGGGGGTGTCACAACTGACCAGTCATCAACTTCTTCGGTTTATGATTGATCTAACTCTCTTATTATTTACATAACATAAATAAATGGGATCTCATTATTTCACCATTTTCATCCCAACTAACCTATCAAACTCAGTTCAGGAGTTATTCATAACTCATTAGCGAATTTTAATAATTTTGCTAGTCCAGAAGAAGTAGCTTGTTTGTTAACAACTGAAGCAAGATGGCGCTTTCGGAAATAGTTGGACGTTCTATAAATCTCTTGATTCAGGTTCACTAATTCCAGTTAAGCAAAGTCTTCGGTCTAAGTATGGGAAGAATTAATGGTACCAACCGTTAGTTATCTTATTTCTGTTCTGTGTAGTTACGATTCCCAACATCCTTCAGATTTGAAAGATTCGTGTCATCATGAACGATATCACATTGTGATTGTGCAAAGCAATGTTTCATTTCTCTTGTTATTGTTTAAATATTTATTGTATTCTTGTTATTTTCAAGGAACCATTACCACCTTCGAAATTTGGAAGAACGACAAGTTCAAGGTTTTGAACTGGTGTAAGGTTACTTCTCCTTTAAAGACAGTTTGTTTGTTTTTGTAATTATGTTAAAAGCGAACTCTTATCTGTCTCGGGAAAAAAAAAGTGGAAGTTTATTCACGCTTCTTGTTCTGATTGTCCAATGTTCTTGTGTTGTGTATGATGTCCAATGTTTGTAGTGTATCATGTCCAATGTTTGTAGTGTATCATGTCCAATGATTGTGTTGTGTATCATGTCCAATGTTTGTTGTGTATCGTGACTAATGTTTGTAGTGTATCATGACCAATGTTTGTTGTCTATCATGACCAATGTTTGTTGTGTATAATGACCAATGTTCGTTGTCTATCATGACCAATGTTGGTAGTGTATCGTGACCAATGTTTGTTGTCTATCATGTCCAATGTTTGTAGTGTATCATGACCAATGTTTGTTGTGTATCGTGACCAATGTTTGTTGTGTATGATGTCCAATGTTTGTAGTGTATTATGACCAATGTTTTTTGTGTATGATGTCCAATGTTTGTTGTGTATCGTGACCATTGTTGGTAGTGTATCGTGACCAATGTTTGTGTATAATGACCAATGTTTGTTGTCTATCATGACCAATGTTGGTAATGTACCATGACCAATGTTTGTAGTGTATCATGACCAATGTTTGTAGTGTATCATGACCAATGTTTGTTGTGTATCGTGAAATGTTTGTTGTGTATCATGACCAATGTTTGTTGTCTATTATGACCAATATTTGTAGTGTATAATGACCAATGTTTGTTGTCTATCATGACCAATGTTTGTTGTGTATGATGTCCAATGTTTGTTGTCTATCATGACCAATGTTTGTAGTGTATCATGACCAATGTTTGTTGTGTATCGTGACCAATGTTTGTTGTGTATGATGTCCAATGTTTGTTGTCTATCATGACCAATGTTTGTAGTGTATCATGACCAATGTTTGTAGTGAGACAACAAACATTGGTCATGATAGACAACAAACATTGGTCATGATAATCATGACCAATGTTTGTTGTGTATGATGTCCAATGTTTGTTGTCTATCATGACCAATGTTTGTAGTGTATCATGACCAATGTTTGTTGTGTATCATGACCAATGTTTGTAGTGTATAATGACCATTGTTTGTTGTCTATCATGACCAATGTTTGTAGTGTATCATGACCAATGTTTGTCCTTGTACTTCACCATTTAACAATTAATACTAAATCATTATTCTCATCACAACTTTTAACTGTTAATTTCATCAACCAGGTAGTTATCATCTTATTTTACCCTACACTCAAACAGTTGTCTTACCGCTGAATCTTGAGGACCGACGTTGCGTAGATACAGGATTAGTTCTGGTTTTCAGAATTTCGTCCAGGTAACAACCGGGGCCTGGAGACTCCCGCCTGTAGGTGGAACGGCAGTTTCTATGGTAACGGCTTCCCGTGGGATAAGCGGCGATTCCTACAACCTTTGTGACAGGGCTTGGAATCCGTGACGACTGAACAGGTGTGAGAGAACTTTGGGTGATTGACGATAGAGGGGGTAAGCGTCTGCTTTTTCTACCCTGTTTCGCGTTCTTAGACATCGTGAAGTGGCGAGCACGTGATTGGAACGGATATGAAACTCGACGGAATACCTAAAAATAGTGGAAAACGTGATTTACGAAATTTCATATTCGATGAACGAAACAAAACAAAACTCACGAGAAAAAAATAAAACGTCTGTACACGTAGATATAACATATATATACGTGCCAATGTGTGCTACTCTCCTAAGTCTTTATTTATCTCAAAATAAAGCTTGAAAAAGACTTACAATCATCATTAGTGTCTCTATTTCCTGACGGCAGCCATGACACTAATGGAGCAGTCCACACGATCTACTATCCTTCATTACTCCCATGTTTACATCACCCATCTTTATCCTTCATTACTCCCATGTTTACATCACCCATCTTTATCCTTCATTACTTCCATGTTTACATCACCCATCTTTATCCTTCATTACTCCCATGTTTACATTACCCATCTTTATCCTTCATTACTCCCATGTTTTACATCATCC